AGTGGTAAGAAGCTGTTCTGCAATCCTGCAAGCATGTGGTTCGAATGCCCAGCTGTTCAATGGGGAAAGTTTCCTCCTGTGTAATTTACTGATGGGTCAGATATGGGTCAATTCTGACTTGATGGTTCTCAGAAACAATACAGTATCTATTATTTTGTAATGATCTAAGTTATCACCTATGTATTTAAGAATTTAGCAGGCAAACTTGTAGTTTTTACTTTTTAAATTAATTTTAACTAAAGGTTACTCAGACTTACGGGACATTTCTTTTTATTAAGAAAAGGATGTTGTGTGTGGTGGTGGTGTTGTGTGGTGCAGAGTCACCTATCTATAGCAACTATTTGTACAATAGCCCTGAACCCCACCCTATAATGGGCCAATCTTACTATCTCCAATACACCTATCACCATTATCCCAGTTACCGTGTAAATCCATCTCATCCAGCGTCGTCTTCTCCTGCGCTGTCCCTCTACCCTTCCAACCATGATTTCATTCTCCAAAGACGGTTCCTGCCCAGCAACATGCCCTAAGTGTGTAAAACGGACCTTCAAAATCCTTGCCTTCAAAGACCAGCTTGGTTTCACCCTCTCTATGACAGACTTGTTCTCTTAGCTGTCCATGGTAGGTTTAATACTCTTTCTCAGCGCCCCAACTCAAAGGCATCAATTCTTCTTCTATCATCCTTTGTCACTGTCCAGCTCTCTGATACACAGCAAGTAATTACAAAGACCATGGATTGGATCCGGCTCACCTTAGTCTCTAGGCTGACATTGCTTCTTTTCAGCACTCTCGAGGGATCCCTCACAAGTTTTCCCTAATGTAATTTGTTTTTAATTTCCTGACTGCAGGATTGTGGAACCAAGTAAGCTGAAATTGTTAACAATTTCAATCTTTCCCCCATCTATCCTGGTGCTGCCAATTGGCCCAGTGGTGAGAATTTTTGTTTTTTAAATGTTGAGTTTCAATCTATATTGAAGGCTGGAGTCCTTGACCTACTGCAGTGAATGCCTTAGGTCCTCCTTAATTTCAGCAAGCAATGTTGTGTCATCTATATCGTGCAGGTTATTGATGAGTCTTCAATCCCAATGCTCCATTCCTCCTTAAAAAGTCCAGCCTCCTAAACGATCTGTTCCATACATAGATTGAAAAGATAATGGAGATTGGATACATTCTTGAGGCACTCCTTTCCTGATTTTGAACCATGAAGTGTTTTCTTGTTCTGTTCTTAAGACTGCTTCCTTGTCCAAACACAGGTTTCACATGAGCATAATTAAGTGTTCTGGAATTCCCGTTCTTCTCAGGGGTAGCTACAGTGTGTCATGATCCACACAGTCAAATGCCTTTTCATAGTCATTGAAACACAGATAGAAATGACTCTGGTACTTTCTTCTTTCAGCTAAGATCCATCTAATGTTGGCTATACTGTCACTACCTCTTCTAAACCCAGTTTTTGCAGTTCTCTGTTAATGTTCTGTTCCAGCCATTTTTGGATAATCTTTAGCAGTCAATCTGTTTCCTTATCCATATCAGTAATATATGGAAAACAAATAACCACAGGCACAACTATATACAGTCCTGCGGTAACCTCTCAGTGTCATTATAAAGAATAATTGAGAATATTCAGGTATTCACTGCTTAACACCCAATAACATGTGCTGTGAAATAGAAAGTTAGTTAATTTAGATGTTGGGCAAAAACCATATTACATCCTTCACAAACATATATCCCTAAACCATGAGCATCCGCTGGTTTTCCACATTGGTATTTAAGAAACTTTGGTTTCACATCCAAATCACTACTTTTGTGTCTTGCTGCTGCTGTAAATGAGCACTGATTTTGTTGCCTTTGAAAACCCTGATGCACTTCATGGAAATATTTTTGAACGAAAATTAGATAACATTATCACATTCAACCCTAGTAACCCTGTGTACATGTAGTAGATTTAAACTGGGCCTGATCTGGGCTTCGTCTGACATACTTTGGACATGTTGCAAGGAGGGACAAGTCCTTGGAGAGGGATGTCATGCTTAGGAGAGTGGAGGGTCAGTGCAGAAGGGGAAGCCCCTCTATGAGGTGGATTGATTCAGTGACTTTCAGGGTAATAACGGGGGGCAGGTGTGTTGGAGATGGTGAGATTGGCACAGGATAGGGCAGAGTTTAGGGCTGTTGTACATAGGTTTGCTATGAATCACAGGTGACTCTATGGTACATAACAAGCAACAACAACAACAACCACATTCAAGAGTTGCAATATAGAAGAGATACATGCTAATACATATGAGTTAGATCATACGTTATTATGAATGTATGTGCTGCACCATTTAGATACAAGTATTTCACTTAAAACTCTTCCACATCCCACTCATCAATCAAGACTTCTTAACTTAATCACAGTATAACCTTATAGGACCATGGCTATATAGGCTATCAGATATTACTCAACTAGACTTTATGTAGTGCGTGATATATATATAATTGGAGTCATTAGGTGCCATTGAGTTAATGCCAGCCACCATCAACCCCATGTGATAAGAGTAGACCTGCTCCATAATGTTTTTCTGATGGTAATTTTTACAGATACAGGATGCCAGATCTTTCTCTTATTGAGATGCTGGGTGGTTCTACACTCCCTACTTTCCACTTAGCGGTCCAATATTGTGCCACTAACATTCCCTCACCAAATAGCATTCCAAACCAAATCTACCACCATGGAGTCAAGTGCAACACCTAGTCACCATAAAGGACAGACTAGAACAGCTCTATAGGATTTCATATGCTATAAATCTTTATAGGATGCAGACAGCTTCATCTTTTTGTTGTAGAGAGACCAATGGGCTTGAACCACTGACCCTTTGGCTAGCAGCTGAATTCCTTAACCATAGTCACTAGAAGACTTTATTAAACTGCTGCTTAGATGCTATCCAGTTGACTTCAAATCATAGTAAACCTGTGTACATGTAGTAGATCTAAAGTGGGCCTGATCTCATACCATCCTCATACTCTCTGCTGTTCTCAAGCCCATTGTTTCTATTACTGTCAAGCCATCTTGGTGAAGATGGGTCTTCCTTTCCTTCTTTGACCCTCTCCTTTCCAAGCATGATGTGCTTTTAAGTAAATGGTGAAAAACCTCAAACTCAGTTGCTCTCTAGTTGTGACTGATCTGTGGATTTGAACTGCCAGAGAGGTGCTGTCTTTTGAGTTAAGAGCAAAACACTCTACCAAGTAGGCCACCAAGGCTCCCCCTTTAAAGCAGTTGTTTCTATTAAGTCTAACTTAAGAACTAGTGCTAGTGGGATTTTTAAAAAAGCAAATCTGGAGCTCTGGTGGCCTAGTGGCAAGAAGTTACGCTGCAATCCAGAAAGCTCGTGGTTTGAATCCACCAGATGCTCTGCTGGAAAAGGAGGGCAATCTCCTCCTGTGCCAGTTGGATTTGATACATAATCAGTGGTACACAAGGGGGGAAAATAATTAATAAAATAAAAATAATAAGGACAAAAGCAAAGCTGCTCACTTAATTTATGTGAGATTTTCCTGATTCATACTGTGACTTAATGAGAAATTGGTTTCACTACTAAGATGCTTAAAATATACCTCCAAAGAGGAAGAACACACACTGAACTATGACCATAGTTTATTTTGAGGAAGGACATAGAAAATGCAGATTAGAATTAAGGGATATACTTATTTTAGTGAAAATCCTAATGTATTTCTTAAACCTATGACAATGAAATGAAGTTTATACATTATTTGTATGTTGGAGGAAAATACCTAAAAAGTGGCAGATATATTCCCAAAATATTGCCCCCTGGCTGGTAGAAAAAAAATAGTATTCCTAGTATTTGCATGTTGCTGCTGTTGTGTACCATCAAGTCAGAACTGACCCATAGCTGACCCTCCTGCGGGTTTTCAGAAGCAATAAAGGGCACAGGAAAAGATGGTTCATCCATCTCCTGGGGAACAGAGGGTGGGTTTGAATCGTGCCTTCAGGACTGCAGCACAGCTTCTTACCACTAGGCCACATTAGCTTTAAGTTTTATCTTGCTGTTATTCACTTATTAGAAAGAAAATAATTGAATTAATTTAGTGTGTTTTCCAAACTACAAATATTACACCCTTTATAAAATAAATTCTAATTTTAATATGTATGTGTACCATCATCAAACTTGTTTTCCTTTCTGCTTTTCTAGTTTCGTCCTTGTCTCTAACTAAACATGCTTTGTCATACGCTAGAGGCAGATGGATTGAATTTTTATTATGACCTGTCACAAATGAAAAGTGAAAGATGAAAAGGATATTTCCATTTATACTGTAATAAGTTAACATTAAGTCTAGCTTTATGATGTTTACCTTTGAGGTATCCTGCCAAAACAAAATTGATTGATAGGATTGAAATTAAAACCACTAATGGGAAGCCTTCCATAAATCAGTGCTGAGGTTTATGAAGCTAAGGTCATTTTCTTTATTACTCTTTGTGGGAAGAAGAGGTAGGTAAACATTCTTGACAGAGTCTGTGAGCCTGGGGGCCTTGCAGGGATACAAACAAAAAATCTGTAACTGGTTTCTGAGGGGTTTATGAGCGTGTGCCTCATAGGTTCAACAGTCAAGAAATAATGGGCAGAAAGATAAGGAGCAACTTAAATAACAAAAACATAACAACTTTAAAAAAGAGGTGGAGGAGAAGTACCATATAAAGAAAAGTGAATTACAAGGTAAAACTCTGAACATGCATCTTCCACTTACCTTCATTCCACAGGCTAGACCACGATCCTAATTCCTTCCCTTGATAGAATGGTCAACATAATCTATGTAACAAGTTTTATTTGGTTTATTTTAAAAGAAGATGGAGGTAAAAAGAACCCATTTGGAAAACTTTTCCTAATAGCTAATTTTGGAGAAGACACATACTTCACAAAGGTAGGAATACATATACATTGTATATTTAATCCCCAGTGAACCTTCTAAAAATAAACATTATCAACTAGGTGTTTGGCATGAAATGTTTAGTAGACAATGTACAGTGTCTCCTTTAAAAGCAAAAAGTGTATTCTAATTTTGCTAGAAATAAATCCTTTATTTGCTATTATGTGGAGTTCCTTTCTCATTGCTACAGTTTCTCTTAAACCACTGGTATTTCCTCTAACTCTGATTTCTCTCTTGTTTCCCCTGTAATTTTGCTCTCCTATTTTCTTTTCCTGGCTATTTTTAGTGTCTGGTAACACTAAAAAAGTGGAGTCCAGCGGTTCTTTGATTTTCAGCTGTCATGGACAAGAAAATACAAAACAATTAGGAGGCATTAGCCACCAGCCCTAGTCACCTCGCATTAGCCCTCATGCCCCGGTCCTGCACACCTGCGTGCCTGCTGTTTGCTGCTCAGCAAAATGTCTTCTGCCCCCACCCCACTCACCCCCGATCAAATTAGCTCCTTCTTTCTGCCTTAAAGATTTAGCTTGGTGGCCGGTGGGAAGCCAGGAAAATTTCAGGTAGATGATAATAAAGGTAAAGTCCAGTATTGGGAGTCATTTGTGTGTGTTGTTGATGCCCTCCAGACTGGACACGTGGAGAGCCCAGTCCACCTTCACGTGGGACGCAGTAGAATATGTTTTGTTAAATGACGACTACTAGTTCTTGTCAGAACAATTTAAGATTTCCACCCAAACCCCCTTTGGCACTGCAAGTACATGTACATTTGTAATTAATTACTGTTACTCAGTATTTTCAACTGGTGGGTGAAGTTAAGGCCAGAGGTGGTCCATATGTTCTAAAGTTTGGTGATTATTGATGAGGGAAATTTTTGAGAGAAGGAATATTTGAGCATTTTTAAATGCTGCTTTATATTCTGATTGTGTATATTAACATTTGCTTGTCTGTGGCCTCCTCAAGGACAAAGCCTGAACTTTATTTTTATGACACTATATCCTGGCATTTGGAAGCAGGAGTGGCATCCACTTCCTAAACCACATGCCTCTGGAAACTCTAAGAACTTTGAGAATAGACGATAGTTAGAGAAAGGCTTCAGGCCTTTTGCTCATGGGGTCGCTATGAGTCGTGCAACAAGAACAAAGTATTACCGGTTTTATTTTTTTCCCGTCTGGTCATAAAAAGCAAGCAAAACAAATAAACACACATTTTTGAATAAGTATAGTTCATATAAAGTTTACTACTTGTGGTGGTGCAGTAGATTGATTATTCAAATGGTTTCTTTACCTATTGACTTTGATTTTCCTGGCACATGACTGGGTTGTTGTGGTGAGTAAGATAGTACTAATAATGTGAATGTGGTAAAGAACCTCTTTTGAGTGGAAACATGCAAATAAGGTATTTAGACTGTTAAGGAGGCTGATCGGTCAGTTTTTCCCATCCTGATGGGCTTAAATTGAGCAGGTTCAGAGGCAGAAGATGGAGATTTTACTGCATCAAGGAAGAAGTGGAGATTGTAGGACATATCCTTTTGGAAAAGACAGATAGAAGCAGAATGAGACTGAATCAGTGCACCAACAGCAATAGAGGGGGTAGAGACCCAGAGACAGACATAAGACAGGACTGAATTGTAATTTCCATTCCACAGATCCAGAAGCCAGGGCCTTTGTCTAAACTTGCTGGAGGACTGGGAAGAGACACCATACTTGGCTGCACTGAAAGGGCTGTGTATTACTGGTTCAGAGCGGTGAGAATGAAGGCCTGTTAGCATGCCTGAGACCTTCTCCCGACTAAAGACTTGTACCCTGTTTCCTACCTGAATTGTAACCTGTTAGTCCTTAATAACCCCTCTAATTTTTAATATTGATTGTAAGTTCTGTGTGCCCATTGCAATGGGCTCGTAGACCTAGTGGCAGAGCATTGAAAGCTTCAGTAGGGATGGTTGATGTTGGAATTTACAAAAGTAGGTGCAGAAGTATGGGGCATGTGTGACCTCATGGAAATTAGTTTCATGCTGTTGATGGGAATTTGTATCCCTGATGGAGTTATTGAAACTCAGATGTCACTACACCCATGCCCACCACAGTCTTTTTCACCTACTTTTTCATTCTACTGATACTTTCATTTTATCTCAGACTGGTGAGAAATTATTGGCTGACCCAAATCTTGAGGACCCTCTTGGGTAAACGGCTCTAATCTGAAGAAATTAGTCTAAAGAATCCAAGGCTCAGTTTACGAACAAAGAATAACTTCTGTTCTGTGATGCTAAAATAATTTACATAAAAATGGAAACAAAATACTATGTTTACTTTTTTAATCTAAGAAATGTAGTCATTGACTTTCCATCTGTTTAGGAAGAAGTCTGCACTTGAAGATGGCTGACGTTTTCATCACTTATCCACATCTGCTGTGGTAGCCTCTTTTCTTTCCATTTCTATTTCCCTCCCTCTGTTGACCTATATATCAATATTTTTATCTATATGTTGTTTTTGCTATATTTAGCAGTAGTGCTGGTTTGTCATTCATGATGTCCATGGCTGCTAACTAAAACAATAGCAGTTCAAATCCACCAACCGCTTTATGGTCTCTTATAACTATTCAGAAATCTTGAAGAGGGTGAATTAGACTGCTGGATTCAGCTTGATGGCTATGGGTGTAGCTAAAACTCACTGCTGTAGAGTTAGAAATAGCTGACCCTCTACTGCAATTCTGAGGTTGTAAATAATAATACGTAAATAATATGGATGGCTGGCATCTCAATGGTGGCTCAACTTGGTGGCAATTAAGCAAGGGAAGTTTCTGGGGTCCTTATTGGTGTGTGTTACTGTTCTTTTTACCCTTCAAAAGTGGGTGGGTGGCCCAGAGCCTTAGACTAAAGGTAAGTAAGGGTGGAGCCTGCGGAGACTTAAAATCCCTCAAGCTTGTCTTTAATTGTTTTTAGTGAAACATTCTTCTAGGTCATATAGCTCTGATCTGTCCACTTGCTGTACAGAGATGTAACTCATGGTTACTGTGAAGCTGAACACTCTTACAATGATGTGTCAAATGTGAGAATGGTTACCCATGGTGGACAGTGTTTGTTTGAGTTCCCAGATTAAAACAAGTGTGGAAGCAGAAATGGCATCAGCTTCTGAAA